GATGTAACATCAAAAGAGACCATAGTTTCATCCGTCTCCATGATGACATCCCTCACCTTGTCAACAAAGTGAGTTTTAACTTTCTGGTTTCATTTGTCCACTTCCAATGAATGGTTCTCCACCTTCATTCTTCTACCTTATTCTTAACAAGAATAAAAAGACCTTGGACAATTCCTTCGACACTGCCTCATCTTTGGCTATGTTCACCCTGCAGATCCTGACGCTCAGTTCAGAAACTGCCATCAGACTCCAGTGTGACCAGTCCACGGCCCTGAAACAACGTGTAGAAGAAGACGTGACGTCACACGCAGCACATTTACAGTCAGTACGGTACATGTTAGCATGGGTAGATTGATTTGAAGGTTGTTGTGCAATCAGAGCTAACTAAATTATTATCTGCTTTTATTGTTTTATCCTGTGTTTACATTTGAGTGTGCTGCTTCCCGCCTGCTCCGATGCAAATTTTCACATTTGAAACAAGAGATCAAACTGAAAGTAGAAATCCAGTCAGGCTAGTACTGAAACAGGATAGTAACTTGAATCTGCATGACATTAGTATCTATAATGTCAATATCTGGATCCACTTACTTTTAAATTAGTGAAAAATAATGAAAAAAATAGATGAAATACAACACGGCCACTTTGTGAAAAAGAATATCTTCATCTCCAGCTTCTACTGTGTGGAGGCAACAGGTCCAGGTGAGAAACTCAGACCTCTCTCTCCCAAACGACACTTTCCAGCTCATACTGGGGAATCCCGAGGTATTCTCAGCACAGAGACGAAATCCCACCAGTGAGCTCAGGTCTTCTCCGGGGCATCCTACCGGTGGGGCGAGCCCGGAACACCTCTAAAGGGGGGCATCCAAGAGGCATCCTAATCAGGTGAATCACCTCAGCTGACTTCTTTTTGATGTGGAGGAGCAGCAGCTCTACCCCAGAGCTCCTCACCCCATCTCTAAGGCTGAGCCTGGCTACCCTACAAAGGAAGCTCATTTCAGCACCTTTTATCTAGTATCGTGTTTATTCGGTCACGATCCACTCACGATTATAGCTGAAGCTTTTCCTTTCTTTTAAATTTTAATTTATTTAATTTTTTTAAATTCATTCATTACAACAAACAAAAGAAAATCTATTTACAATAAAAACTAGTCATAAATGAAATGAAAGGAAACTAAATTCAGACAAAAACCAATTTCGGGTTCTTCCCTAAAAGCAATTTGTGTAAACGTACAYGCACTTTATATCGTATTTTTTCAAAAATTAACCTTTACCATTATCTTTAACATACAAACTTTTCCCGGAATTTTAACATCAATCTTAAGCTTATTCCATAGTTGTATTCCTTGAGTTGAAATACTTCTTTAATTCAAACTGGTTTGAAATTGTGGTTTACAAATAAATCTCAGCAACGCATGCTCAACAAATTTTGGTAGAATGTTTGAAGGAAGCAGCAGTTATTATCTCTTCCATTAATTCCATGAGAGCTGTTGATGTTGAGTTATTTGTTCTAAACCCATACTGACTACTGCTTCAAGTATTGTGTTTTTCTATAAATTGATCTAACTTGGTTACAAAGAGTTTCTCTAAAAGTTTTAAAAACTTTGGCAAAAAGGATATTGGTCTGATTTGTAAACACACATTTCTCACCATTCTTAATAAAAGAGGGATTACCTTAGCTACTTTCATATTGTCTGGAAATGTTCCTGTTGAAAATAAAAAAATATTAATTTACGTAAATGGTTCAACAACATAATTTATTATATCCTTTACAAATATATCCATGTTATCCGCTCAATCTTTTGATCTTTTATCTTCATGATATTATTTGCAAGATTTTTAACAGTGCTCATTATTTCTTCCTTATCAGTTTAATCCAGAAAAGTGCTGCTGACTCTTACCATGACTGTGTGACTCACATCATTATTTACATTTGGTATTTCAGGGTTAAAACGTAAATCGAGAGCTTTGCCTTTCGACTCAGCTCTTCACCACGACCGACTGAGGATGAGCCCCCAATCTGTTGATCCATCTCCCGCTCCATCCAACCATCACTGGTAAACAAGATACCCAGACACAAACTCCTTCTCAAGACTCCCATGAGGTTTCTCATTCTTACTCCTGTTTTTTTTTTTTTTTTTTCATTTTACGCTTTGGCCCACTTTGATTTTTCTTCTTTCCCCTTCAGTGTTCTCCTCTCTTTTTCATGCATGCCTCTTTTCCTTGCAGAGGAAACTGTCACATAAACTATTCCAGCTTGCAATCTTAGCTGACTTGAAGTGATGCAAAGTGATATGAGAACAACATAAGCCCCCAAAACTTCACTCAAAGGCTCCAGACAAATAAAATAAAAATAAATAAAAAAATTATATATATATATATAT